CAGAAACAACCGTTCAGGAAATTGCTCAGCAAATCATTAAATAAAACAGAAGCAACCTGTTTTATTTCATTCAGTCTAAACACAGTATCTCCTTCCATCTCAAACTCTCCAGCCACGTGGTCTACGACGACCAGAACTGCTCTTGGTACCCCATGCAAGACAGGTTTATAGAAATAAAGTCACATGCCAAAACAATTAATAAACACAAATACATACGAGAACATCCATACATATATCCATGACAAAATGATTTTCCCCTCCCCCAGGAAGCTTATCCCTACATCCTTCTGGGGGAAAAGTAATGAGGGTAGACCAGTTGTTGGTCACTCTAACCAAGTAACTCACAATAAATTCATTGCTGAGAAGAGAAAATAATAACAAATGCATAAGCGTTCCAAGTTCTTGGAATATATACATCTAACCAAGCTAGAAAGGTGGGCCAGATAAGGTATCCAAAAGAAATCATTTGTCAGATATACTGTGATTTCGAGTCCTGCATTGTGCAGGGGGTTGGACTTGATGGCCTTTTAGAGACCCTTCCAACTCAATTATACTATGATCCTATGATTCTGTGTTAAGAGAAACAATGATGGGTACATGACTTTCACAGGTATGAAGCCCTCCTTGACAACATCATTTTTCTCCATGGATTCTCCGTTAGCATAATCTGAAGGACTGGCTCAAGACACATCCGTCATCTGGGCAAGGAGGGGAATGTGTACGAATCCATCTCCGATGTCTGCTGCTGATCTTGGAAAATGATTTGCATTTCATTGCGACACAAAGTCCCTTCACCCAAACAGCCCGGGGCACAGCCAAACACATGGATCACCAGACGGGTGATGTAACCGTCCCCCTTGTTGACACAGGATTACAATGACATATCCACAGGCTGATCGTGAACTCAGATAACCAGAAGGTTTTCCGGGGAAAAAAGAGGAGAAAACAAGAGATATCCATCAAGGTGGTATAATAACACGTGCAGTATAGGAAACCGTTGTTGACATTCATTTTTATGCTGCTTCTCGAGGCAGCGCATCCTTATCTCTCTTTTCTGAATTTTGCCTTTATTTTTAAATCCACTTCTGTTCTAAGCAAAAACCTGACTATGAGACATTTTCTGTTTGCAAACACCCCCTGGCTGATACAGAAGTTTTCCAATTTTGCTTCCATCATGGGCATAGAGGTCAGTTCCGGTTCTAAGCAAAACAACCAAAGAAACTGGCTCTCCAAGGCAAAGCCTGTCATTTAAAATGAGACGCATTCGGCAACGATTGTGGGAAAGCAGGCGCATTTACCTATTCATTACGCTTATGTGCTGCTTTTCCTCCAGAGAGCTCAGTGCGCACCTCTCCCCTCCTCCCCTCACTATCTTCTCAATAACCTTGTGAGGTAGACAGGGCTGGCTATGATAGCGGCCCAGGGTCACCCAGCAGTTTCTCAGCTGAGCCGGCATTTACCCTTCGGTCTCCCGAGTTCTAGTGCAAGATGATGAGCGCACAGACTGATCAGATTCCTCAGCAGGATTCAAAAGCTGATCCCAAATTCCCAGCAATGGTGCAGATAAAGACGGACAAAGAAAGTCAGGTGCATGCATAACATATACACACAGGAAGATGAATGAGAGATAGACGAACTGATTCGGGGGCATCTCTAAAGCTTATTCCACTGGTATCTACTCCTTTATTAAGACTTCTCATACAGTTCTGTGTTGTGCAAGGAACTCAGAACCTTTGTGGGATTCATAGCAAAGATACGGAAATAAGACACAAGTCAAGAAGCTGCTCGTCTGTGATTGCAGCCTTAACATTAGGATGACCTTCCTCCCATCTTCCCCCCAGTGCCGGTCCTACCATTAAGCAGGCTGGTGAGGCTGCTTCAAGCAGTGCTCCTTCAGAGCTATGGAAGGGCAACAGATAGTTACGCATTTGTTCCCCTGTTCTCACTTTTCGTGCCTGAGACAGGGAGAGGAACCTGTGGGACTCCCTGCACCATGAGCCAGAATAACAACTGGTCTTAACTTCAAGGCACCAAGACCTGGGTGACTGAGGGGACGACCATCTGTTGTTCTGCCTTACACAACAAGACACTGTGGGTTCTGCATTCCTCAAATAAGTTCCTCTTTGGTCAGCTCCAATAAACAATATCATTGCTTCAGAATTTGTGTTTTTTTCTAATGTAATCTGTACTTTCCATATTGAAAGCTAAGAAACGTGTAACTACATTTCCCAGGGCAGAAGAGAAGAACAAACACTGTTTCACGGTTACACCTTATTCTAAGAAACAGAGTTCTATAACTGGCCAACCAATTCAAGGAAGCAAACTTGATGATAATACAAATATTCAATCTGTTGTGGCATCAGATTTCCAAACATGTAAGAAGCAAACAATATAACAGCAACAATGCATGGCCACTTTAAAAATCCTCCTCTAATAAGAGTCCACTCACTCACTCAGATACCAAGAAGCGATCTTCCTTCATGTCTCATTTCCACCAACAATTAGGATAGTAGGTAAAGAGTTCTAGGACTGCTCAGACAGTGGAACTCCCTGCCTCAGGAAATTTCATTCAGTATTGTCTAAACAGCAAATGAAAATGCAGCTGGTCCGGGAGTCTTCTCTGCCCCACTTGTTTCTCAAAATCCATTGCTGCTTTGTCAATCTGATGCACTCTCTGTGTTCTTCCTGATTTAAGATTTATAAGAGCAATATCAATACAGCCGGGTCTGGTTTTCTGTTTTTTTACATCATTCTTTGCTGCCTCAAGCACTTCAGAAATGAGCCAGAAAGGCAGAGAATAACTATTTCAAATAAAGCCGTGCTGAAGTAGCCGCTCACGCGCTTTGGATACAAGGCTGCCTTTCAAATTTATGTAATGGGATGAAGAGGCAAAGAATCACCCTTTGGATTATCCGGCTGGAAATCCTGGAACCCCTTTATAATGAGGCAGAGAGCATGACCGTGTTCTAAATGCTCCGTTCTACTAAAAATAGGGGTTGCCATTCTGGAAAGTGGATCTGGCAGCCTGTTAAAGACAGGCAAATAGATCTTTTATTCCCCACAACGCTGTGCCCTCTCTTCATCTCCCGATCGCCTATACAAGGATAAGTCGACACCCTTTCCTCTTTTCCATCTCGGTTAAAATTAGCTTGGCAGAGGTGAAGAATGGTCAGCCCCAAAATCAAAGATGTAGAGGTGGAAGGGGGTGGTGGTATTCCTTCCACCCGGAGTGGACCATTTCCTGGATCTCAACTCACAACTCTTGAGAGTGAAAATGTTACATTTTTAGACAACAACCTGCAGATGCCCCTAGCCACGCTGGCCAGGCAGATTGAAGGATTTTGTGAGTCGCAACCCCCCAAAAAAACTTTTCATGCTTTCCTCAGGGGCAGGGCAGAAGATGGATGTTACTTGACATCGAGTTGCTTCAGACTCGTGGTGACTTTAATAGGCTTTCCAAGGTACGTGAGATTCACTGAGTTTCTAAGAGCTGAGCAGTGATTTGAACCCAGGTCTCCTGAGTCTTAGTTTGGCTCTCCACAGCACTGGCCCCCAGAAAAATCTCTGGAGAGACTAGATGGGGTTCGCTGGCCTGCAAACTAATTGTCTGCTATTCCCGAGTTAAAAAGTGAGCATCCTAGCAAATGTGCTTCTTGATGAAGTGCATAACTGGATGCGCCTGAAAGTTAAAAGTTCAGAAGGCGCAAAAAATAACAGCGGTTCTGTCCCTTTCCTGAACGCGCAACCCTTCAGAAACAACCTGATCTCCCCCAAGGGCTCGGCCGATGTCCCAAGTTTGCAAACAAACAGAATAGCAACACATCCCAGTGACAAGATCTAGGGTTCTTCTCCTGCCATAGCAAACCCCCTAAAACAGGCAGAAGGAATTCCAGGGTACCGCAGCTACACACAAGTCCTTGTGTGTTCTTCTTTTTTCCTCGCAGGTTAGAGCCAAAAGCTATGCCCAGATGTAGGACTGGGTGGAAGAGTTCTCCCTATAAATCAGCACTGCGTTTGATGGCCTTCAGAAGCCAGGGACTCGGTGGGACTGAAACATGGCCAGCTGAGAACCGTCTTCCGGATAGCCGCCTCGCCTATGGCGAGGAAGGATCGCCTCTTGGTAAAGGAGCAAATAACGCCCTGGAGAAGTTGGAAGTTCTCTTTCTTTCCACAGGCCAAGACCTCTGTTCCTCAACAAGTAACTTATTTACAAACCACAATTTCTCACCCTTGTCCAAAACAGAATCAGTCTGGGACTCCCCATGTAAGCACATTCAGAACTTATTTGGAGAAGACTTGAAGCTGAATTACTCTTTGGGATTGACCGTGGTGTATGTGCCAAGGTGGCCCATCCGGACGGACCCTTGCCCAAGTGGTCCCCGGAAAACTATAGGGTTCCCTTCCATGCCCCTTTGGCACTGAGGGATGGCGGAGGAAAGAGTTTTCTCACCCCCTCCCCAGTCCCTAAGACATTCTGCATCTCAAGTGCCTCCTGCGCCCTGCAACCGAACCCGGGAGTCGCCTCCGCTACTTTTCCTCCCCGTCAAGCAAGGAGGGGCAAATAAGTGGTTTTCAGCACTGGAAAAAAAAAAACAGATGTGGTTCTCTGGGGGTGAGCGAGAAGAGGAGGAGGAGGAGGAGGAGGCTAACTGAAAAACGCCCACTCCCCAATTTTAAAGGAATCTAAAAGGAGCCGGAAAAGGGGGGGCTCGGACGGGGGAGGAGGAGGATGGAGAACCGTTCCTCGGGTTGCATTCACACGAGCAGTTGGACGCCGGCCAGCGAGGCCACCACAAAAGCTCCAGCGGGGCGGGGGAGAGGGCTCGAGAAGCCGGCGGTGGCGGCCAGCGCAACGCCGGCGACGCGGATCGGGGCTCCCCGGAGATGCGCGCACGCACCCTAGCCGGCGCGCTGGCGAAGGGGTGGGTGGGTTGCGCCCCTTCCCTGCCCAATCCCGAGGGGGGGGCGGCTGGGGATGCCCCGGGCATGGCCAAGCTCACCTGTCCGTACACCTTGATGGGCTCCGCGCCGGTTGCGCTGCGGCGGCGGCGATGCGGCGGCGGCGGC